AAACCTGCCTTGGTGCATCTTACTTGCAGTGTTTGCTGCCTGTCATCTCTGTTGAGTGGGCTGTATGGAAAGGATGAAGTTTAGCGAGATGCCCAGACCACTCCGAAGGAGCCAGAGAAGGGGGATCAAATGGTGCAGAGATGCATCCTAAGAGCAGGGTGAAGTGTGGTACAGCTGTGTAGTGTTTGGAAACAAAAGTCAATTGGTGTGCAGCAATTAGAGACAAATGGTTTATAAGTGCAAGCGTCATACATCCTGGGAATCAAGCTGTAGAAGTACAGACAATGACAAGCCCTGACCACAAAGGAAGAAAAAGGTGAACAGAGAGTAGAAAACAGTGGTTCTCCAAGTTCAGCATACCACAGAGACACCTGGAAGCTGGTTAAAATTCAGTTTTCTGGGCCCAACCCTCAATTTCTGTTTTCATAGGTCTGAGATAGGGCCAAAGAACCACATTTCAAAGAAGTTTCCAGATGCTGTTGCTACATTCAAGAACCACTAGCATAAAGTTAAGTCAAGATTTTTAGTCGTAGCATGTATCCATCACTAACATAACTATTAACTCTTTGTATATGATAGCATTATATTAATATTTGGCTCAAAATTGTCCTCTTGACCTATTTAGAAGTTTCTTCTTAAATTCTTTCTGACCAGAGTGAACACAGATTCCCCTATTTCTACAAGTTTCTTAGTATTCTAGCAAATATGTTTGTTTTTGTTTTTTAATTCTTGGGGGTAGGGCTGGTATCTGGGATTAAACTCAGGGGCACTCAACCACTGAGCCACATCCCCAGCCCTTTTTTTATATTTTTTTAAGAGACGGGTCTCACTGTGTTGCTTAGCACCTCACTGTAGCTGAAGCTGGCTTTTAACTCGTGATCCTCCTGCCTCAGCCTCCCATGCTGCTGGGATTACAGGCATGCGCCACTATACCTAGCACAAATAAGATCCTAGAATCTTGGGATCTATTCAAGGACATACAGATCTGCCACCTAATGCATTAAACACCCTGCCAGAGTCATTCAGTCTGCGTGTGAGCTCTGTGTCAAGAAACTTACCATTTCCCAAAGCAGCGTGTTTCATGCATGAAAAATGATGATGTTTAGAAAGTTTTATTGTATAAAAATTGGGCTAAAACATGTTTTCCTATATCTTTCATCTATTGATCACAGTTCTAAAGGGACAATAGGATAAACAGATGATATTGCTAAGGTTTTGCAACTATCTTCAAATAAACACAGTCTCTCATTCTTTGTCCCACATTCTGTTTCAGATAAGGATTCGTGAATCTTTCAGCCATTCCTTATGAATAAGATGTCAGATGCACTTGTCATCCTGGTTACCTGCCTTATAAAATTTACATCCAAAATTTAATATAATTATCTATTAGAGAAAAAATTATAAGATAGTAGAATGGTATGGCAGGAGAATCTACTGGTTAAGATCATACACTTTAAGATAAAAGAGTTACTTGATTGGAATCCTGTTTCTACTTCCTTTTAGCCTTGTGATCTTGGGAAATATTTCTAGCCTCTTTGAGAGTCCTTTGCCTCATATTTAAAATGATATTCCACATCAGTGCTTATTAGTCTGTGTTCGTTGATGTAACAAAATACTTACGGCTGGATACTTTACCAGTAAAAAAAAAAAAAAAAAAAAAAAAGGTTTGTTTAGCTTGCAGTTTAGAATATTTAAGAGCACAGCACCAGCATCTGCTTGGCTCTGGCACCGGCCCCCTTGGCAACCTTACAACTGATGGATGAGATCATTGCAGGGACACATGTGAGAGCGAAGGATCACATGGTGAGACAGGAAGCCAAAGAAGGATCTGGGGTCAGCCTTTCTCTTTTATAACAATGCACTCTTTTGGAACTGACCTGGGTCCTATGAGGACCACATTAATCCTTTCCAAAGACAGCACTGCCTGATGACCTGACCACTTCCCACTAGGTTCCTCTTCTTAAAGGTTCTATCACCTCTTACGTTGCCACCTGGGAACCAAGCTTCCAGCAATGAACCTAGGGGAAAGAAACCACAGCCAAACTGTAGCAAGTGCTAAACAAAGAGAATTAGAAAACATTTATTTGAAAAGTGGTTAAATCCTTAGACTTTACCTTGTCAGAGAGGTGAACGATTACCCTGAATACCTACCCACCCCTACAGCTCCTGGCAAAGACTGCAGGTTTGTTTTCTGGAGAAAGTCTGTGAAATGAGACATGCTAGGGATAGTTGAGGGTGAGGGTGTACTATAACCATGCCTCAGTGGCACAAGCCAACTCACTGCCGAGCCTCAGCCCCTTCTCCCCACTGGCCGCACACACCCTGGTGCCTGGACCTTTACCCTCCAGGCAGGAGAACTCTTCCCAGAGGAACCTAGCTGGCCTTGGGGGAAGGAACCAAAGATACTGACATGCGTAGTTCCCCAGCAAGTAACCCACCCAGGGGCTCTACCCCAAGCTCCACGTTCTTTCTCAAAGCTTCCCTCCAGTTTCTGAATCCTTTATTTTCCATCAGACGCAGAAAAGGAATGCCAAACGTCTGAAAAAGCTTCTCACATGGAAAAGTGAGGCAAAAAACAAAGAAAAATAACTTGGAGGAAGCAAGTTACACCATGAAGGGAAAAAGAAAACTTTTTTAAAACCTTAATAGCAGAAATGAAAACCTCAGTGGTGGGATTGGGATCTAAAGTTGACAAGAAAATAGAGCAAAGAACAAAGGTTGGGAAAATAGGAAAATTAGAAAACCAGTTTAAGAGGTCTGACATCAAAATAAGAAGAAGTTCAGAAAGAACAGAGAAAACAATTAAGTTATTGAAGAAAATTTTTTGAAGCTGAAGGAAACGAGTTGCCAGTTGAGCATCCACCTCCACTTGACCACCATGAAGGTCTCGCCACAGGGCACCACACTGGGGCTCCAGACACCAGCCACGAAGGAAATTCTCTGGCACCTCAGAGAGAAAGGAAATTTAGACAAAATCATAACTAGAATGGTTCCAACTCCTGAATAGCAATACAGGAAACAAGATGATGAACCATGGCCTTCAGAATTCTGAAAGAAAAGGGATTCTTTATTAAGCACGCTGTCATTAAGCTTAAAGTTAGAATTACAGACCCTTTCGGACAGGCAGGTGCATCTTTTTCAGCAACTCCTGGAGACGGTGCTTCAGCACAGTGAGGCTAACAGAGGAGGAGGACGTGGGATACACAACGCAGGGTGCCAGCTGGGGAAGATGGTGAAGGGACATGTCAGATGACAGCTGTGATCCAGACACAAAGCACACCTAGTTCAGAGTGCAGCAGTGCGACTCAGGACACACGCACTCACTCGAGACTTTCCTCGTTGACGTGCCACTGGCTTGGGACGCTTTTTAACCCAAGGATAGAATGTCTGCTGCATGAGCCTGACCTAGATTCTTGAGTGTGCTTGGCTTGGCCTGACCATGAGCTGATGAAGTTCCTGCTTCCATTTTGTGTCCTGCTGCTACACCAGCTGAGAATACTTGTTTCATCCAAAAAAAAGTTTCTTATGATTGGCATTTTGCCTGAGAACTGGAGATAGGCTGCAAAGGGCTTTGAAGCAAAAAATAGAGAGTAGCTGCCTGCCCCTGACCATATTTTTATAGAGTTCCAATTTACTTTAGAAGGGACATGAATATGAATAAAATAATAAAGATAATCATGTGTGCTAAGAGGTAGGCATCTGTTTCCCTGTTCTGTGATGTGCACTGAATAAGTCTTTTTTTAAATAGCAAGTTCAGAGTGAGTCTCAGAGACTTGAGAAATGGATTTCACCAATTTGTACCATGTATCTATAAAGGAATGCAAATAGATATTGCAAGAAGAAAACGTTCTGTGTTTAGGAATGTTTAGAAAACACTTGAATAAGATACCAGAGAGTTCTCAGAATTTTAAACGTGCTGATGGACATTGCTAATCTCCTAATGGGAGGCACAGGTACAATTTCCCATTCCTGATGCACTAGGAAGCCCAATTTTCACAAAATGCCTAACATCTTCAGGAACACACTGTATCTCAGAACGGTTTGAGAAATAATGATTTGTAATAAAGTGTGAGAGAAAGTATTTAACATGATTTTGCACGAAAGGAAGTCATCTTTTTCTAGAATCTTTAATTTTACAGAAAACAGGTTGAGAATACTTTTTATGTTACTTATAGTTTCCTGGTGAAGAAAATTATCATAGCTGTGTGTGAAAGTAATCAGGATGTCAGATAAGTTGGACTCCAGTCTTGACTGTATTTGACCATAAAAGAAAAAGATTAATTTCTCTAAATTTTGTAGCCTAGCAGTAGTTGGTAGTTCATTTTATCATCATAATCTCTTCAGGGGAAGAAAAGATGAAGGACTAAGTTCCAGCCTTCGCAGAGTTTCTACTTTAAATACCAGCTTAAAATGCTGTCAGTAAGAAGGGTTTAATACTTTTCTTTCTCTGGTGAAGTTTATAATAGTATAAAAATATGTTGGGCAGGATTTGGGAGTCAAGATGAATGTTGATAATTCTATTTGGTGTTTATTTCCATGGTATTATTTATTTATTTATTTATTTATTTATTTATTTATTTATTTATTTTAGTTGTAGTTAGATACAATACCTTTGTTTTATTTATTCATTTTTATATGGTGCTGAGAATCAAACCCAGGGCTTTGCACATGGTAGCTGAGCGCTCTACTGCTGACCACAACCCCATCCCCTCCATGGTATTATTGTAGCCTTCTCACCAATACCATGTGTCTCAACAATACTGTGTATAAATATATGTGTGTGTGCATATATTATTTATATGTATATACACATACATATGTACATTGTATATTTTCTCAATTTCCTGCTTTGGATTTTTAAGGCTTATTATAAATATTTAACCTTTAAAATTCTAAGTAGTTAATATTGAGATTTTCTTAGTAGGCTTTTACATTATAGAATTATTCTAGCTATTACTCCCATTTGTTTATTACATATCTTTCTCATTTATACATTTTAGTTCCAACTACCTCTGAGGGAACATCTTCCTTTTCTACTTTATCCGTGTCATCTCCTGATTTGAACTCTCCAGAGAAGACAGTTCATCACTTCCCCCCGACCTTGCCTGGATCTTCCTTGTGGACTTTGTCCCACCAGCAGTCACGTTCTGCCTCCCTTCAACATAAAGATAAGACAGCCAAGGCTCAACAACATTTTGCTCCCAGTGGTCCATTGTTTTCTGATGAAGAGGAAAATGACATCTTCAATCTACTAGAAATGCTTCCAGATAACTCTGATTCTGCTAAGAAGATAAGTCATATTTCCAGGAGTAATTGGATAGAGTTCTCTGCCCAAAATGTAGACCACTCCTGCTCTGTCCCCTGTTCTAGTTTTCAACCAACCAAAGGCTTGCCTAGGGAACCCGAAGCAAAGAGTTCCATTAAAGTTCTCCTAGGGGATGTAAAAAGTGCAGTAGTTAGACTACATGAAGATCTGAGCACGGTGATACAAGAACTCAATGTCATCAGCAGCCATCTCATCAGCATGAGTGGGAGTAGTCTGCAAACCAACAAATCTTTGCAGGACCCCCAGTCTTCTGAGGGAAGTTCAGATCAAATCTAATCATCTCAGCTGACATTTTGATAGAATTCGGTGGTTCCACGTCTCAAAGACTTACATTAGCATTTTCTAGATTCCCATAACCATGGGCAAAAAGTAATGGTTTAATTTCTCCTTGCTGGGTTTATTAACAAACCAGTAAATTCATTTGGGTGGTTTATTTTTTAAGAGAAAGAAGTCACTTTGTTAATTTCAGATTTAGATACTAATTCATTTGAAACTGAAGAGAATTTCATTCTTTATCTCAAAATTGGGGAAGCATTAGTGAAAGTTTTGGCAAGACTTCAAACTGCAAATAACTACTTGAAAGCTCTTGGATAAGTGAGCAAGTAAGAAGCCTCTCACTTCCCAGCTGTGTGAAGTTCCACTATTCACATGCCTCTACCAGGACCTGGGAGGACTGTATTGGAGCGCACCTCTCACATGTTCTCTTGCAAGTTTCAAGTCCTATAAACCAAAGGCCAGAAATCTCCCTTTTCTTCTCTCAGATGTCAGTGTTGAGAGCTAAGTTGAAAAAAGTAGGATGTGGGACAGGTGCTTTGTTGTTAATATACATTTCAAAGTGAATTCAAGCACATACTTTTTTCTTCTATTTCAGAAAATAAATTTTTTTCACCTTATGTATATCTTTTTAATTCATTAAGACAGTCTTTCAAATAGAAACGTCTCAATTATTTATGGACAAAATGACCTAGTTTGGGGATTCTAGACTAGTGATTCCCAACCCTGCTGTACATTAGAATCACCAAAGAAACTTTGATTTTGTCTCATATTTGTTTGAGAGAATAGTGCAATTACCAATTTAAGGCTAAAATAATTCCTGACCTTTGAAGAAACTTGGAATATTTTAAAAATATACTGATGCCTGGGTCCTTCTCCCAGTCACCCAGAAACTGGTTTTCATCATGCAAATTAGGTTAGGTATAGAGGGAACTGTCAGTGCAAAGACCCCAAGATGATAGGAGGATGTTTGGTCTGTCTAAGGAGTGGCAAGGATCCCAGAGTGTCTGGAGTAAAATGAACAAGGGGGACAGAAGTAGGAGATTTGAGGTCATAAAGCAAAGAGCAGGGTATGGTACCAGATGATAGAGATTCTTGAAGACAACTGCTAGAGATTTTGGCTTTTGTTCTGTGAAATAAAAATTATAGCCAGGGGCAATGGCACATGCCTATAATCCCAGTGGTCAGGCGGCTGAGGCAGGAGGATCATGAGTTAAAAGCCAGCCTCAGCAAAAGTGAGGCATTAATCAACTCAGTGAACCCCTGTCTCTAAATAAAATACAAAATAGGGCTAGAGATATGGCTCAGTGGCCGAGTGCCCCTGAGTTCAATCCCTGGTACCTTAAAAAAAATTATAGTGGGTTTAGGGTAGAAAATTACATGTTACAATATAGATTCTAAATGATCACTGGCTTTGGCAGGAACAGGGAGTGAGGCAGGTAATCCACTTAAATATTTCGAGTATCCAGAGAGGAGCTTCTACCTCAAAAATGGGGAGGGCATTGTGAAGGTGAGCAGGATTAGCTCTGGGATTCAAGGGAAGAGTCAAGGATGAAGTCAAGGTGATTGGATTGAGCAACTAAAATTCAAGATGACACTGCCATTGACTGAGCTAAAGAAGGCTATGGGTGAAGAAAATTTTGATTTTTCCCCTTGGAATTTGTTAATTTCAGTGTCTTTTAGATAACCAACTGGAGGTATTAGTTAAGAACTTAGATGTGAAAGTTGGGTTTGAAAGAGGTCTACAGTGGAAGCTGGGAGTTAGTTGAAGGCCTGAGCCCTGGGCCATGGTAGCATAAGAGATCAAGAAGAAGTTAAGAATCAGTGAAGGAGTCTGAGGAACACACCACTAAGATAGGGGCAGAACAGTATGCAGCATTTGGAAGCCAAGATAGTACGTTGGACACTGAACTCCATATGCCCTTTCCCTAGGTTCACAAATTGTTTTCCCATGTTTGTTTTAGCTCCTCTCTTGCTAAACAAGTTTATGTCTATAAACATACTGTATATAGGGCTCCGTATATACTTGAGTACCGACATATTTTGCCAAGCCATTTGAAAGTAAGTTTCAAACATTGTGACATTTCATCACCAAATACTTCAACGAATCACATGAATAAGGGTAATTGTTTTCCAACCTACCTTGCAGTTAAACAATTCTCCCTTCAGCTGTGTAAAATCATCCCATCTGGTTTTTAATTCATTTATTTTATTGTTCATTTCTAGAATTCTACATGGTTCTTTCAAAATTTGCTATATTTTTCATAGGTCAGAATTTCTTGCAGGTATGTTCAAGCATATCTTTACGAGTGAGTATAGTAAGAAAATTAGTATAGAATCCTTACTCGTAAGAATAACAGATTAACTTGGGGGTACTCTGCTAGCAAACTAGTAAGAATGGTTTATTCATTTAAACCTATACATTTTCTTTTACATAGCTGTATCCCACAAAATTTTAAAAATTGAAATAAAATTCCCATAATATGAAATCTACCCTTTCAGTTATACAATTTGGTGGTTTTTAATATATAACATTAAGCAGCCATCACTACTACCTAATTTCAGAACATTTTCATCACCATACAAATACTCCAGCAGGACATGGTGGCACACACCTGTAATCCCAGCAGCTCAAGAGGCTGAGGCAGGAGGATGGCGAGTTCAAAACCAGCCTCAGCAACTTAGTGAGATCCTGTCTCTAAAAAAATATTAAAAAGGGCTGGGGATGTGGCTGAGGGGTTGAGTGCCCCTGGATTTAATCCCTGGTACAAAAAAAAAAAAGATATCCCATACCCGTAGGCAGCCTCTCTGCCCTCCTCCTTCCCCCAAGCCTTTGGAAGCTGTAAACATTACTGTCTCTTGTCATGGATTTACCTGCTTTGGATTTTTTATATAAATGAAATTGTACAATGTGGATTTTTGTGTCTGAATTATTTCAATTGACAATATTTTGAGGTTTATTCATGTTGTAGCACATTTGGAAACTTCATTCTTTTTTATGGATGAATAATATCTATTGTACAAATCTCCACACTTTGCTTATTCATTCATAAGCTGATGGACATTTGGGTTCTTTATAATTTTTTGCTGTTACAAATAATGCTTCATGAAAATTTGTGTATTTCACTTCTCTTAAATATATACCTAGAGAGTGGAATCTGGGGTCAGAATGGTTTACTCTTTTATAAGTTTAACTTTTTGAAGAACTGCCAAAATATTTTTCCAAGTGATTGCACCATTTTATAATAAGTTCTGATATATAATATTTTCATTGTCCTTTGGCTCAAAATATATTCTAATTCCTATCATAAAGAAATGTAGAACAGCCTATGAATAGGACCTTTGTGCCTTAAAGTCACAGAGCAGAAGGCTCCATCAAGGTCACCTAGGCCAGCATTTCCCACACATGGGCACCCACCTCTGCCCACAGCTGGTAGTGCTGCTTCCCCCCAGGACGAATCACCTACATTCCCAGTCTTAGGCCTCCTCTCCAGTTAACCTGAACATGACCTTATTGCTAGTTCTTTTTGTTCTGATAGTTAATAAAATAAATACTGTAGGGCCACCCCCTGGGGGTGGGGGAAGAAATGTAGAAGTTTATTTCCTAATTTTCAGGCACATCATACTCTTGGAACTAACACCTTAAGTTTTTGTGGTTCTGTATTTGTTATCTGTTGTTTCTGCTAGTTTATGCTTATGGTGTGATGTTTCCTTGTGAGTCTGCTTATTTTTAACTATGTGTTTGTCAAGATACTTGAAAAATTAGTTGTACGAATAACACAAGAACCTGGTTTTTGCTTCTGCCAAGTGCCTGGTGTACCACCATAATGGTTAGGTAAATCAAGATCATGGCTTGAAGTTCTCCAGAATGCCCAGGTTAATCCCTGGCATTACGAGACTTAAATTTCTCATCAGGTGTTCATTTCCATTTATTCTTACTGGATAGCCATTGATATCACTGTATTGTAAGGAGTATTTATGTTGAACATCTTCACACCTGTGTGAGGTGACTTCTGTTCCTGTTGTCTTTCAAAGTCACCCAAAAGGAAGTTTGAATTTATTAGACTCAACAAATGCCTTTAGGGGAAAGGCATTTGTTGAGTCTAATTGTGCTCATTGACCTAGCAGGTCTCTGTCTTTTTGAGTACATACCACCAGGCCCTGAGAGCGTGGTGGGCACAAAACTAGATATAGTGCCTGTCATCAGAGCTTGAGTTCTAGAGTTTTGGAGAAATTCAACAGATGAATCAAATTATCCGCCAAAATGTAAAAGTGTAATAGTTCTGTGGAGGATGTTAAGATAAGGAAATTTGGAGAAGTTTATCTAAGGAAATAGCCTTTGAGCTGAAATATAAATTCTAGGGTTATTGAAATAAGTGCACTGGTAACAGGTTGGGCAAATCAACTTCTTCCTGAGTTAAAATAGAGAGTGAAGTAGGGGTGACACCCAAAGACCTCTTCTGCTAGCTCTCTTCACACACCTGAGCTCCCCCAGTAGATCCTCACGTGGTAGTGGGGTGTGCTCTCCCCTTCCTTTGCTGACTCTAGGACTTCAGTTGTACATTGCTGAGAGCAGGGACTATGAAGACAGCCAGAAAGAGGATCCCCCCTCCTCCCTCCCCACCTGCCCCGGAGGTGCTGCACTGGGGCTCTTGAACACTCACAGAAACCCCACAAATAACTGGGGCAGCAGACACAGGCCTTTGAGAAACTGCCTACTGATAAGGTGCTTACTGCACGCACGTAGTCACTTCACGTTTTCACTTGGTTTTACATAGCTCATGTTTTAATACAGTCATTTGTTAATTAGTATAATTAACAAGCACTTATTTGAGTTTCTGTTTAGCCAACTCTATTAAACAAGTAGAACAAACTTGGCTTAAATTGAGAGTGGGTATATTCTGATTGACTTTATAATTATTTCATATTTAAAATACTTCATTAGCTGTTATTCTCTTAAGTATTTTCCTTTGAACTTGAGGATCCTATTATAGGACAGTTATAAAAATATTTTACAGTTTACTTACTGTCAAATTATTCATGTGTTCATTCTTTAAATATTCATTAAGTGCCTGCCATGAGCAGGCAATTTTTAGACACCCAGGACCCAGTAGCAACGAAACAATGTGCTACCTGTCTTCAGGGTTACAGGTCAAGGGCGATACAGATGGATGGGTGAGTCATTTTAGTGTGTTGCATGGCACCTGTGGATTTGGGGAAGCACAGGATGATGGGCAGGGTCAGTAAAGAGCCACATCCAGTTCTGACTAGACGCCAGGGAAGTCCACACAGAATTCTGAAGGACAAGTGGGAGCTGGAGTCAAGGCACAAGGAGAACTTCCTAGGTGGAGAAGACAGCATGTCCAAAGGGGGAGCACGAGAACAGGGGGGCATGAGCCCAGGGTCGGGAGTGGGGCACCGTAGCTTCAGGCTTTATGCAGTGACTCTGGGTAGTGACTGGGCAGCTTTACAAACTCCATAAAAGAAAGACTGTGTGACAAGTAAATGGCTCGTATGAAAATTATGTCATAGGAATCAGGAGAGGAAGGGTTTCCAAAAATCCATTCACAAAATGATAAAAATAGACCATGCTCGCCTAGCACAAGTGAGACCCTGGGTT